GCAGTGATGTTGACCGGCTCTATCTGCCTAGAAAGTTTGGTGGCAGAAGACTTTTACAAGTAAAACAAGCAGCTGAAGAAGAAAAACACGCCCTGGCAGAATATGTCAAGGAAAGCCAAGAACCTGCTTTAATTGAAGTCAATAATCGGAAAGGTCTCAAAGCACAGCAGACAAAGAACCAGTACAAGAAAACTGCACTCCAAACCAGAGCTGACAGCTAGCACAACAAAGCCTTGCATGGGCAGTTCCTTGAGAAGATTGAAGGAAAAGTTGACGCACTTGCTCCCTTGCCTGGCCCGCTTTGGGTCCGGAGGCGTGCCTGCAGACCCCGGCGTGTGCACCAAAAGTCACCTCTTCTCCTGACTTTCTCCTCAGCCATTGGGACCAAAGAGAGAGAGAGAGAGAGAGAGGTGGAGATGCCCACCTTTCCTGAAGGTAGGCGCAAAAACAAAGGAGGGAGCGGAGGTGGGAGATACCTCCAGCCGGAGGGTCTCTCTCTCTCTCTCTCTTGGTCCCAATGGCTGAAGAGAAAGTCAGGAGAAGAGGCGACTTTTGGTGCGCACGCTGGGGTCTTCAGACACGCCTCCGGACCCGAAGCGGGCCAGGCGTGGCGGCTTCGCCCCTTGGCCCACCCGCGGATTGGGGAGAGGAGAGGAGGCGGGTGGAGCGCCGGGGGATCAGGAAAGGGAGCCGGTCATGGGGAAGGGATCGAACGCGGAGAACGATTGAGCACCGGCTCTGCTCGCGCACCCGGTGGCCGGGTGGAGCAGGAACGAGAGGGGCTAGGCGAGGCTCAAGGGCCCGGCCCCTTTGGGAAGAGGATCGCCCGGCAGCGAGGCAAGAAAGCCGAGGCTCCCCCCGGACTGCTAGGGCTGTTGTGAGCTGAGGGGGTGCTCCTCAAGTGGCGGTCGAGGGGCATTTACAGAGGCGCCTCTGCGCCCCTGGCAAAAAAAGTGTTCTGCGACCGCTTACTTCGCGTAATGGATGAGTATGTGAATATGTGTATGTGGTTTTGTGTATATGTGTGTATTATAAATGTGTATGTATAGATGTGTTATATAGGTGTATCTGTATATGTGAATGTCTATATGTGTGTATGTATTCATATGTATAGGTGTGTATTTATATGTGTATATCTGTCTGTGTCTGTGTTTCTATGTATATGTGTAAATGTGTTATATGTGAATGTATATATGTATAGATTAGTATGTAAATGTGTTATATATGTGTATGTATATGTAAATGTGTTCGATGTTTATATGTATATATTTTATGTGTAAATGTGTTGTATATGTGTTTATATATGTGTGTGTATGTATAAATGTGTTATATATGTGTATGTATGTATGTGTATGTATACATATGCATGTGTAAATGTGTTATATATGTATATATCTGTGCATGTGTAAATGTGTTACATATGTGTATGTATATATATTATGTGTAAATTTATGATATACGTGTGTGTATGTGTAAATGTGTTATATATGTGTATGTATATCTGTACATGTGTAAATGTGTTCAGTGTTTATATGTATATATGTTTATGTGTAAATGTGTTGTATATGTGTTTATATATGTGTGTGTATGTATAAATGTGTTATATATGTATATGTATATATGTGCATATATACATGTGCTATGTGTATGTATATATGTGTATGTTTAAATGTGTTATATATGCGTATCTGTATATGTGTATGTATACATGTGCATTTATATGGATTGGGTGGTCCTTATGATTTTCCTCAACTCTGTGATTCCATAATTCTATAGTCACTCAGCCTCTGTTTAAAACCTCACCAACCTATCGCATGCCTTCAAGTCATTTCCAACTTACGGAGAATCTAAAGTGACCTTATTATTATATTATTATTATTATTATTATTATTATTATTATTATTATTATTATATATTATTATATTATATTATAATATTATAATATTATATTATTATAATATTATTATTATAATAATTATATTATATTATATATAATATATTATTATTATTATTATTATTATTATTATTATTATTATTATTATTTCCATGACTGATCCGGGATCCCTTACTCTACATATTATTATTACTATTATTATTTTGTTTATTATTATGATTTTGTTTATTATTATTATTAATAACAATACCCCGCTTTTCTCTCCACAAGGAGACACAAAGTCTAGTCACAAACGCCATTGTGACCAAAACTATCAATATTCCCCCTCCCAACAACATCCTCCTCCAAGACATAATGAACAGCAGTGACATCCCAATGTGTATTTATTGGTTTTCCAAAAGAATACAGAGCTTTATTTTGTAAAACAAACAGAGAGAGATAGAAGATGTTGATTGAAACCCTAACAGTGATGGAGACCATGCGAAGGCCAGGCAGTTCATGTGGGACTCCATAGTTTTTCAAGGATTTCGGCTACAACTTCAAGGATTTTGGCTACAATTCTGTTTTGAGCCTTAGCTATCTGGGAAGAGCAGGAACCCTGAGAAGATGCTGTCTGCCCCTTCGGTGCCTCCGACGAGAGAGTTCTTCTCCGTCGGCTCCAGCCACACCGACTCCTCTTGCGCCATGCGGAGGACCACACCACCCGTGGTGACTTGGAAGGAGTTGTAGACAAAGTCACAGAAGGCCACCACCCGCTCCCCTCGCTCGTTGCCGCGGCCTTTCTTCAGCTGGAGGCAGAGGTTTCCGCGGGAGCTGACGTGGTAAGTGAAGTAGTAGAGGCCCGGGATCTCACATTTGAAGCGGCCGTAGCGCGTCTCGTAGTTCCTATTGACGTTGGTGATGATCTGGTCAAAGCGGACCTGTGATGAATAAAATATGATGTTTAGATTGAATGAAATTGTACAAAGAATGTATGGATAATAATAATAATAATAATAATAATAATAATAATAATAATAATAATTGTGGATTGACTACAAAAAAGCCTTTGACTCACTCTCACACAGTTGGATCATCAAGTGCCTAGACACTATCGGGATTTGTAAAAATGTTGGTACTTTTATTGAATCATAGAATCAAAGAGTTGGAAGAGACCCTGACAGATGGCCATCCAGCCTCCCTTCTGCTAACCCTTTGAGAAGCAAAACAACCACCACCTCCTCTTCCCCCTCCTCCTCATAGAATCATAGAATCAAAGAGTTGGAAGAGACCTCAAGGGCCATCCAGTCCAACCCCATTCTGCCAAGAAGCAGGAATACTGCATTCAAATCACCCCTGACAGATGGCCATCCAGCCTCCCTTCTGCTAACCCTTTGAGAAGCAAAACAACCACCACCTCCTCTTCCCCCTCCTCCTCATAGAATCCTAGAATCAAAGAGTTGGAAGAGACCTCCTGGGCCATCCAGTCCAACCCCATTCTGCCAAGAAGCAGGAATATTGCATTCAAATCACCCCTGACAGATGGCCATCCAGCCTCTGCTTAAAAGCTTCCAAAGAAGGAGCCTCCACCACACTCCGGGGCAGAGAGTTCCACTGCTGCACAGCTCTCACAGTCAGGAAGTTCTTCCTAATGTTCAGATGGAATCTCCTTTCTTGTAGTTTGAAGCCATTGTTCCATTGTTCTAGTCTCCAGGGAAGCAGAAAACAAGCTTGCTCCCTCCTCCCTGTGACTTCCTCTCACATATTTATACATGGCTATCATATCTCCTCTCAGCCTTCTCTTCTTCAGGCTAAACATGCCCAGTTCCTTAAGCCGCTCCTCATAGGGCTTGTTCTCCAGACCCTTGATCATTTTAGTCGCCCTCCTCTGGACACATTCCAGCTTGTCAATATCTCTCTTGAATTGTGGTGCCCAGAATTGGACACAATAGTCCAGGTGTGGTCTAACCAAAGCAGAATAGAGGGGTAGCATGACTTCCCTAGATCTAGACACTATGCTCCTATTGATGCAGGCCAAAATCCCATTGGCTTTTTTTGCTGCCACATCACATTGTTGGCTCATGTTTAACTTGTTGTCCACGAGGACTCCAAGATCTTTTTCACACGTACTGCTCTCGAGCCAGGCATCGCCCCATTCTGTATCTTTGCATTTCGTTTTTCCTGCCAAAGTGGAGTATCTTGCATTTGTCACTGTTGAACTTCATTTTGTTAGTTTTGGCCAACCATCTCTCTAATCTGTCAAGATCGTTTTGAATTCTGCTCCTGTCCTCTGGAGTATTGGCTATCCCTCCCAATTTGGTGTCGTCTGCAAACTTGATGATCATGCCTTCTAGCCCTTCATCTAAGTCATTAATAAAGATGTTGAACAGGACCGGGCCCAGGACGGAACCCTGCGGCACTCCACTTGTCACTTCTTTCCAAGATGAAGAGGAAGCATTAGTGAGCACTCTCTGTGTTCGTCCACTTAACCAATTACAGATCCACCTCACCGTAGTTTTGCCTAGCCCACATTGGACTAGTTTCCTTGCCAGAAGGTCATGGGGGACCTTGTCGAAGGCCTTACTGAAATCCAGGTACGCTACACGGCATTCCCCGCATCTACCCAGCTTGTAGCTCTATGAAAATATGATGAAGCACTGGAAAACTGAACTGTTTGTTGGAAATGAAAACTATGGCCTTGTCAACATCAGAAGAGGAATTTTCCAGGGAGACTCATTGTCCCCACTGCTTTTCATCATTGCCATGATCCCTCTGTCAACAATCTTACAAAAAACAAACCTCGGCTATCAAACGTCTCAGAGATCTCACAAAATTTCACATCTGCTGTACATGGATGACCTGAAGCTGTATGGGAAAACCGAAACTGAAATCCAGTCTCTGACTAACACTGTCCGAATCTTTAGCACGGATATCAACATGGAGTTTGGTTTGGACAAATGTTCGACAGTGGCACTGAAGAAGGGAAAAATCATTGAAAGTGAGGGCATAAATATGCCCAATGGCCAAGTAATCAAGTGTCACCAACCAGAGGCCTGTAAATATCTGGGCATACTACAGATGGACAACATCAAACATGAACATGTGAGAACTGTGGTCAGAGGCGGCCCTAGGTAATTTTCAACGGTAAGCAAACAGTATTTTGGAGCCCCCCCCCCAACCAATCATTGATATATATTTTCTGTTTGTCGTGGGAGTTCTGTGTGCCATATTTGGTTCAATTCCATCATTGGAGGAGTTCAGAATGCTCTTTGATTGTAGGTGAACTATACATCCCAGTAACTACACTTGCCGCCAAGAACCTGCTTTAATTGAAGTCAGTAATCGGAAACTTCTCAAAGCACAGCAGACAAAGAGTCAGTGCAAGAAAACTGCACTCCAAATCAGAGCTGACAGCTGGCACAACAAAGCCTTACATGGGCAGTTCCTTGAGAAGATTGAAGGAAAGTGACTTGCTGCACTTGCTCCCTTGCCTGGCCCGCTTTGGGTCCGGAGGCAGCGTTAGCTGAATAACAAAGCAACGCGAGCAGTAAGGAAGTTTTGCAACCAAAAATCACGGCAAAGAAAGGGGGGGAGGGAGAGAAAAAAAGATGAAAAGACGTGCGCTTGTTGCATCACACGGACTAGGGATCACCTGGCGGAGCTACAAAGCATTCGTGCGTCGACATCTGCAAAAGTAGTACGTCTCGAAGAAAAAAAAAATGAAACGAAAAAAAAAAAAAAGGGAGAGGGGGGGAGAGAGGGAGAGAGAAGAGAGAGAGAGAGGTGGAGATGCCCACCTTTTCCTGAAGGTAGGTGCAAAAACAAAGGAGGGAGCGGAGGTGGGAGATACCTCCAGCCGGAGGGCTCTCTCTCTCTCTCTCTCTCTCTCTTGGTCCCAATGTCTGAAGAGAAAGTCAGGAGAAGAGGCTTTTGGTGCGCACGCTGGGGTCTTCAGACACGCCTCCGGACCCGAAGCGGGCCAGGTGTGGAGGCTCCACCCCTTGGCCCACCCGCAGATTGGGGAGAGGAGAGGAGGCGGGTGGAGCGCCGGGGGATCAGGAAAGGGAGCCGGTCATGGGGAAGGGATCGAACGCGGAGAACGATTGAGCGCCGGCTCTGCTCGCGCACCCGGTGGCCGGGTGGAGCAGGAACGAGAGGGGCTAGGCGAGGCTCAAGGGCCCGGCCCCTTTGGGAAGAGGATTGCCTGGCAGCGAGGCAAGAAAGCCGAGGCTCCCCCCGGACTGCTAGGGCTGTTGTGAGCTGAGGGGGCGCTCCTCAAGTGGCGGTTGAGGGGCATTTACAGAGGCGCCTCTGCGCCCCTGGCAAAAAAAGTGTTCTGCGACCGCTTACTTCGCGTAATGGATGAGCCGCCCCTGGAAGCGATGGTAATGTGTGAATGTAAGAGTCAGTGCTTATATGTGTCTGAAACTTGAGTGGAATGTAATATTCCCTATGTAGTAGCGATAGTCTGTATGTTACTTTCTTTTTCTGTATTGCTCTGTAGTATATTCTGTCTCAATGTGAACAAAATAAAGTTTGAAAAGTATTACGACAGACCGGCTGCCCCCGCCGTGGCGACAGGGTAATCCCTCGTATGGCTGAGAAGGCTGATTTGAGGGAGGTCTTGGAGTCACCAGAATCGCCCTTCTGCCCACGCGAACCGGGCACACCAGGCGGGCCCTTGGAGCCCTCGTTTCCTCGAGGACCCACTTTACCCGGGTAACCCGGTTCTCCCGGTTCTCCTGGTTCTCCCACATCTCTGTAGTCGTCAACTGTCCCTGGAGGACCTACAGAGCAAAGAATAGACTGACTTGATTGTCATTGTCCATTATACAACTAAATCAAATGGAACCCGTAAGAGGACCTATAGAGCAACAAATAGACTAGAATAACTTCATTGTCATTGTACGTAGTACCAGAAAATTAAATGCCAGCTCCAAGAGGACCTATAGGACACAGGTGAAGAAATAGGGAGATAGAGAAAGAGAGAAATGTATTAGTGAATGAATTGATAGATAGATAGAAAGATAGATAGATAGAGACACAGGTGAAGAAATAGGGAGATAGAGAAAGAGAGAAATGTATTGGTGAATGAATTCATAGATAGAAAGATAGATAGATAGATAGATAGATAGATAGATAGATAGATAGATAGAAAGATAGAGACACAGGTGAAGAAATAGGGAGATAGAGAAAGAGAGAAATGTATTGGTGAATGAATTCATAGATAGATAGATAGATAGATAGATAGATAGATAGATAGATAGAGACACAGGTGAAGAAATAGGGAGATAGAGAAAGAGAGAAATGTATTGGTGAATGAATTGATAGATAGATAGAAAGATAGATAGATAGAGACACAGGTGAAGAAATAGGGAGATAGAGAAAGAGAGAAATGTATTGGTGAATGAATTCATAGATAGAAAGATAGATAGATAGATAGATAGATAGATAGATAGATAGATAGATAGAAAGATAGAGACACAGGTGAAGAAATAGGGAGATAGAGAAAGAGAGAAATGTATTGGTGAATGAATTCATAGATAGATAGATAGATAGATAGATAGATAGATAGATAGATAGAGACACAGGTGAAGAAATAGGGAGATAGAGAAAGAGAGAAATGTATTGGTGAATGAATTCATAGATAGATAGATAGATAGATAGATAGATAGATAGATAGATAGATAGAGACACAGGTGAAGAAATAGGGAGATAGAGAAAGAGAGAAATGTATTGGTGAATGAATTCATAGATAGAAAGATAGATAGATAGATAGATAGATAGATAGATAGATAGATAGAAAGATAGAGACACAGGTGAAGAAATAGGGAGATAGAGAAAGAGAGAAATGTATTGGTGAATGAATTCATAGATAGATAGATAGATAGATAGATAGATAGATAGATAGAGACACAGGTGAAGAAATAGGGAGATAGAGAAAGAGAGAAATGTATTGGTGAATGAATTCATAGATAGAAAGATAGATAGATAGATAGATAGATAGATAGATAGATAGATAGATAGATAGATAGATAGATAGATAGAGACACAGGTGAAGAAATAGGGAGATAGAGAAAGAGAGAAATGTATTGGTGAATGAATTCATAGATAGAAGATAGATAGATAGATAGATAGATAGATAGAGACACAGGTGAAGAAATAGGGAGATAGAGAAAGAGAGAAATGTATTGGTGAATGAATTCATAGATAGAAAGATAGATAGATAGATAGATAGATAGATAGATAGATAGAGACACAGGTGAAGAGACAGAGAGATGGAGAAAGAGAGAAATGTATTAGTGAATGGATGAATGGATAGATAGATAGATAGATAGATAGATAGATAGATAGATAGATGACAGAGAAAGACACAGATGAAGATATAGAGAAATGGAGGAAGAGTCAATGGATGGATGGACTGGTAGATAGATAGATAGATAGATAGATAGATAGATAGATAGATAGATAGATAGATAGAGAAAGAAAGATAGATAGATGATAGATAGATAGTGTTGTGTTTGGATGGATTGATATAGATAGATAGGTAGAAAATAGATGATAGATAGATAGATAGATAGATAGATAGATAGATAGATGACAGAGAAAGACACAGATGAAGATATAGAGAAATGGAGGAAGAGTCAATGGATGGATGGACTGGTAGATAGATAGATAGATAGATAGATAGATAGATAGATAGATAGATAGATAGATAGATGTAGATAGATAGGTAGATAGATAGAGACACAGGTAAAGAGATAGAGAAATGTATTAGTGAATGAATGGATGGATTAGTGGATAGATAGATGATAGAAAGATAGATGACAGAGAAAGACACAGATGTAGAGATAGAGAAATGGAGGAAGAGTGAATGCATGAATGGACTGGTAGATAGCTGGATCGATAGATAATAGAGAAAGATATAGATGAATAGATAGAGAAATAGAGAAAGAAATATATTAGTGAGTGGATGGATGGACTGATAGATAGATGGATAGATAGATAGATAGATAGATAGATAGATAGATAGATAGATAGAGACATAGAGACATAGAGACATAGAGACATAGAGACATAGAGACATAGAGACACAGATGAAGAGATAAATGGAGGAAGAGTGAATGGAGGGATGGACTGGTAGATAGATAGATAGATAGATAGATAGATAGATAGATAGATAGATAGATAGATGATAGAGAAAGACACAGGTGAAGAGATAGAGAAATGTATTACTGAATGGATGGATAGATAGAGAAAAACACAGGTGAATAGATGGATAAATAAAGAGAGAACTGTATAGGTGGATGGATAGAGAGAGAGAGACAGAGAGAGAGAGAGAGATCAAAACAGTGAATGGATATATAAAGTGATAAGTGTATAGGTAGATGGATGGATGGATGGATGGATGGATAGATAGATAGATAGATAGATAGATAGATAGATAGATAGATAGATAGAAACACAGATGAATGGATAGACAAAGCAATAAATGTATAGGTGGATGGATGGATGGATGGATGGATAGATGATAGATAGAGAAAAACACAGGTGAATAGATAGGAAGATAGAGAAAGAGATGTATTGATGAATGGGTGGATAAATGATCAGACAGGTGAATTAGTGGATAAATGGACAGATGATAGAGAAAGACAGGTGAAGAGATAGAGAGATGGAGAAAGAGAGAAATGTACTGGTGAATGGATGGATAGATGTATCAGTAAATGGATGGATGGATCAATGGATGAATCAATGGATCGATGGATCGAGAAAACACAGGTGACTAGATAGAAAGATAAAGATGCATTGGTGAATGGATGGATAAATGATCAGATAGAGGAGCTGGTGGTTAAATAGGCAGATGACAGAGAAAGATGGGTGAATAGATAGAGAGGTGACGAAAGAGAGAAATGTATTGGTAGGTAGGTAGGTAGGTAGGTAGGTAGGTAGGTAGGGTAAGTGGAGAAAGGGAGACTGGAATAACTTAATTTTTTCTAGCGCTTGCCTCAAACTTGAAAGTTGTGTGGCCTCGTGAACCCATCTTTACCCCCTTGACCTAATCCTAACCCTAACTGAACCCTAACCCAACTCTAACCCAATCCTTACCCTAACTCTAACCTTAACCATAACCCTAACCCTGTCCGAACCCTAACCCAACTCTAACCCAACCCTAACCCTAACTCTAACCCTAACCCTGACCGAACCCTAACCCAACTCTAACTCAACCCTAACCCTAACTCTAACCTTAACCCTAACCCTAACTGAACCCTAACCCAACTCTAACCCAATCCTTACCCTAACTCTAACCCTAACCATAACCATAACCCTGACCGAAAAACAGCGGTAACTCCAGGATTCTCTAACCCAACCTCTAACATTTTAACCCTACTCTAAACCCTAGATTTTGTCAACCGTCTACATTATGTACCCTTAACCCATACTCTAAAGACCCAACCCCTAACTGACTCCTATCGACTCTTGACATACACACTAAACACCTATACCCGATAACTGAAACCTCTATATCTCCACAACTCTACTTAACCATACCCTCAACTCTAAAATCTACCCTAAGATAACCCTATAAACTGCTAAGTGACAACCCGGACTCTAACGCTTGTCAACAACCGCTAGGGTACTGAACCCTATCGACACCAACTCTAATCCTGAAGTCCTAACTTACTCTGCTCAACTCCTTAAGACATCGTACCCTACACATAACCCTATCATTACTGAACCCTAATTGAACCTCGCAACTACTATAACTCAACCCCTCGAGCACCTCCTAGCCCCTATGAATACCCTGTAAACTGACTATGACCTGCTATCTAAAGCTCTAACGTGCCTCCGAACTCTATAGACGTTCTACTGAACTCTAACTACTTAAAACTCCTATTGTACTCTACTCTAAGACTACTACTCTTGTAACTCTAAACTCCCTATAGAATAAGTTAGGCTCCTAACTCTAACTCTAACTCTAACACTAAAACTCTAACTCTAACTCTAAAACTCTAACTCTAACTCTAACCCTAAGATAACCCTAACCCAACTCTAACCCTAACCCTAATACAACCCTAACCCTAACGCTAACCTCAACCTGTTCTTATTCCCCTGACCCAACCTCTCATGCAGAGGTCTTCTTCATCCCGACCATCTTGCCCTTCCTCTTACCTCGTTCCCCTTTGGTCCCGTCTCCTCCGTCTCGACCGTTGGGGCCTGGAGCTCCCGGCATGCCGGGGATGCCTGGGATCAGGGTTGGACCCTGGCAAGAGGAAGCCCCAGCCATCTTGCTGGCGGGTAGGCAAACTAGCAAGGCCCAGATGACCACCTTCTCAGCACTCAACATCCTGGAAAGGCAGAGATGGAAAAGGGAAGACGAGAAAGACGACACGGTGCTTGCAATTGTGCCGGATTGGTTGAGGAAGCAGTTTTGAGTGCTAGACTCTGGGCATTGACCTTGAGTTTTGGAGTTGTAGTTCACCTACATCCAGAGAGCACTGTGAACTCAAACTATGATGGATCTGGACCCAACTTGGCACAAATACTCAATATGTCCAAATGTGAACACTGGTGAAGTTTGGGGAAAATAGACCTTGACCTTTGGGAGTTGTAGTTGCTGGGATTTATAGTTCACCTACAATCAAGGAGCATTCTGGACCCCACCAATGAGAGAACTGGGCCAAACTTCCCACACAGAACTCCCATGACCAACAGAAAATACTGTGTTTCCTGGTTTCTTACACCTCCACCAGACATGGAGAAAGGTGCCTTTTTGCACTTTATATCTCCAATATTCTCCCCTTTGGGATTATTTGAATTATTATTGCATGTTTTAACTGTTGTAGTAAACTGCCTTGAGTCATAGACTCATAGGTAAAGGTAAAGGTAGTCCCCTGACATTAAGTCCAGTCATGTCTGACTCTGGGGTGTGGTGCTCATCTCCATTTCTAAGCCGAAGAGCCGGCGTTGTCCGCAGACACCTCCAAGGTCATGTGGCCAGCATGACTGCATGGAGCGCCGTTACCTTCCCGCTGGAGCGGTACCTATTGATCTACTCACATTTGCATGTTTTCGAACTGCTAGGTTGGCAGCATAGTTAGTTTTGAAGTAAGCTGTGTGATTGGCTGACAAGGAAAAAACACAACAGCATTTAGCTGCCTTTGTCAATCACATCAGCTCCCTGGTCCCTTCCCACTCCAGACAATTATGGAAGAATCCTAGAATCCTAGACTTGGAAGAAAGCTCATGGACCATCCAGTCCAACCCCATTCTGCCCAAAAGCAGGAAAATCACATTCAAAGCACCCCCAACAGATGGCCATCCAGCCTCTGTTTCAAAGCCTCCAAAGAAGGAGCCTCCACAACACACCGGGGCAGAGAGTTCCACAGCTGAACGGCTTTCCCTCACAGTCAGGAAGTTGTATTGTCGAAGGCTTTCATGGCCAGAATCACTGGGTTGTTGTAGGTTTATTCGGGCTATATGGCCATGTTCTGGAGGCATTTCTCCTGACATTTCGCCTGCATCTATGGCAAGCATCCTCAGAGGTAGCATCCTCACTACCTCTGAGCATGCTTGCCATAGATGCAGGCGAAACGTCAGGAGAAATGCCTCTAGAACATGGCCATATAGCCCGAAAAAACCTACAACAACCCAGTCAGGAAGTTCTTTCTCATGAGGCAGAGAGTTCCACTGCTGAATAGCTCTCACAATTGTCTCACCCCAGAAGCAACTTGCAGCTTCTCAAGTCTCTTATGACATAAAAAAAAAACCCTTCCATAATTGTCTGGAGTGGGAGGGGACCAGGGAGCTGATGTGATTGACAAAGGCAGCTAAATGCTGTTGTTGTTTTTTCCTTGTCAGCCAATCACACAGCTTACTGCAAAATTGACTTTCCCTCCTCAGCATCTGAGGTAAAAACGTCAGGAGAAATGCCTCTAGAACATGGCCATAACCCGAAAAAACCTACAACAACCCAGTCAGGAAGTTCTTTCTCATGAGGCAGAGAGTTCCACTGCTGAACAGCTCTCACAATTATCTCACACCAGAAGCAACTTACAGTTTCTCAAGTCTCTTATGACATGAAAAAAAAAACCTTCCATAATTGTCTGGAGTGGGAGGAGACCAGGGAGCTGATGTGATTGACAAAGGCAGCTAAATGCTGTTGTTTTTTTCCTTGTCAGCCAATCACACAGCTTACTGCAAAACTGACTTTCCCTCCTCAGCATCTGAGGTAAAAACTTTAGAAATTTCCTAAAAATTAGCACAATAATTAGTAGAATCCTAGAGATGGGGGAGACCTGGTGGGCCATCCCCATTCAGCCAAGAAGTAGGAAAATTGCACTCAAAGCACCCCCAACAGATGGCCATCCAGCCTTTGCTTAACAGCCTCCAAAGAAGGAGCCTCCACCACAGTCTGGGGCAGAGAGTTCCACTGCTGAACAGCCCTCACAGTCAGGAAGTTCTTCCTCATGTTCAGATGGAATCTCCTTTCCTGTATTAGGCTTGGGCGATCAAGAAAAAAATAGGTTCTGAACTCATTTCGTTTCTAGAGTGTGCTAGCGTTTCGAAATTCTGAGGACTTTCGAAATTTAAGATTTCAAAATTTCGAAATTTCCGAAATTTTGTAAATTACGAATCGATTGCGCAATATGCTAAAAAAAACCCTCCAAATGGGACAGGGGGAACTTCTGAAGCTTCCCTCTCCCTCTGTTGTTGACTGTTGGTGTGATAAAACAAACAACAACTATATTATATTATATTATATTATATTATATTATATTATATTATATTATATTATATTATTATATTATTTTTATATTATATTAATATTATTATATATTTATATTATATTTATATTATTATATAATATTATTATAATTATATATTACTATATTATATTATTATTATATTATTATATTTATGCAAATATCATATAATTGAATAGGATATTTTGATTCTTGTTCAGATTCATGTCTGTAATCCCTAATAAGTAATATTCAGGTTTCTCCTCATACTTTCCCCCTTTCCCCTTCTTTTCCTTTCCTTTCCTTCCTTCCTTCCTTCCTTCCTTCCTTCCTTCCTTCCTTCCTTCCTTCCTTCCTTCCTTCCTCTTATCTTCATTTCTCTTTCTTTCTTTCTTTCTTTCTTTCTTTCTTTCTTTCTTTCTTTCTTTCTTTCTTTCTTTCTTTCTTTCTTTCTCCCTTCCTTCTTCCTTTCTCTCCTCCTCTCTTTCTTCTTCTCTTTCTCCTCCTCTCCTCTTTCTCTTCTCCTTTCCTTCTCCTTCCTCCTTCTCTTCTTCCTTTTCTTCTCTTTCTTTCTCCTTCCCTCTTCTCCTCTCTTCTTCTCTTTCTCTCTCTTCTTCTTCTTCTCCTTCTCTTCTCCTTCTCTTCTCCTTCTACTTCTCTTCCTTTCCTTCTCTTCCTCCTTCTCTTCTTCTTCTTCTCTTTTCCTCTTCCCCTCTTCCTTCTTTCTTCTGGTGTCTTTGCTAAAACTAACAACAACTATATTATATTATATTATATTATATTATATTATTATATTATATATATTATATATATAATATATATATTATAATATATATATTATATTATAATATATTATATTATATTATATTATATTATATTATATTATATTATATTATATTATATTATATTATATTATATTATGAGTATTGTATATTAGAGTGAGGCAAGAAGAAGCATGAGGAAAGAGGAGGGAAGCAGCAGAGCAAAGGGACCGGGTAAAAAAGTGGGGTAAATGTGAGATTGTAAAACTTGCACCAGACATATGAAAATAATTACGAAATAATTACGAAAATTGGAAAAATTGTTTCGATTCTTAATTACTCCTCACACTATTCCTGCATGGTTCGATATTGGATTGTAAGCTAATTTAAATACGAATTAATAACGAATTACGAAATTAACGAACTGGATCGCCCAAGCCTATCCTGTAGTTTCAAGCCATGGCTCCATTGCGTCCTAATCTCCAGGGCAGCAGAAAGGAAGCCTGCTCCCTCCTCCCTATGACTTCCCCTCATAATATTTATCCATGGCCCTCATCATGTCTCCTTTCAGCCTTGGGCCAAAACTAACAAAATGAAGTTCAACAGTGACAAATGCAAGATACTCCACTTTGGCAGGAAAAATGAAATGCAAAGATACAGCATGGTGGAAATCTCGCTCAACAGCAGTACGTGTGAAAAAGATCTTGGAGTCCTCGTGGACAACAAGTTAAACATGAGCCAATAATGTGATGCAGCAGCTAAAAAAGCCAATGGGATTTTGGCCTGCATCAATAGGAGCATAGTGTCTAGATCTAGGGAAGTCATGCTACCCCTCTATTCTGTTTTGGTTAGACCACACCTGGAATATTGTGTCCAATTCTGGGCACCACAATTCAAGAGAGATATTGACAAGCTGGAATGTGTCCAGAGGAGAGTGACTAAAATGATAAAATGTCTGGAGAACAAGCCCTATGAGGAGCGGCTTAAGGAGCTGGGCATGTTTAGCCTGAAGAAGAGAAGGCTGAGAGGAGATATGATAGCCATGTATAAATTATGTGAGAGGAAGCCACAGGGAGGAGGGAGCAAGCTTGTTTTCTGCTTCCTTGGAGACTAGGACGCAATGGAACAATGGCTTCAAAACAGAGAGGAGATTCCATCTGAACATGAGGAAGAACTTCCTGACTGTGAGAGCCGTTCAGCAGTGGAACTCTCTGCCCCGGAGTGTGGTGAGGCTCCCTTCTTTGGAAGCTTTTAAACAGAGGCTGGATGGCCATCTGTCAGGGGTGATTTGAATGCAATATTCCTGCTTCTTGGCAGAATGGGGTTGGACTGGATGGCCCATGAGGTCTCTTCCAACTCTTTGATTCTATGATTCTATGATTTTCTTACAAGCATTTATTTCTCCTGGCTATTTACTAAGCTTTAATAAAAGATTTGATTCTTCACTCTTCATGTGGTGTGTTTTAAGTCAGAGGGCTTCTTCTGGACCTGCAGTGCAACAGAAACTATGGTAGAAACCACCAGGGCCATCCAGTCCAACCTGACATAGTCTTGGTGCCAGTAGCCAAAGCCTTCTCCCACACATTCTTCCTCTCTCATAGCTTATTTTTCCCCTGACTGTGAGAGCTGTTCAGCAGTGGAACTCTCTGCCCCGGAGTGTGGTGGAGGCTCCTTCTTTGGAAGCTTTTAAACAGAGGCTGGATGGCCATCTGTCAGGGGTGATTAGAATGCAATATTCCTGCTTCTTGGCAGAATGGGGTTGGACTGGATGATAGCCCAGGAGGTCTCTTCCAACTCTTTGATTCTAGGATTCTATGAGGAGGAGGGGGAAGAGGAGGTGGTGGTTGTTTTGCTTCTCAAAGGGTTAGCAGAAGGGAGGCTGGATGGCCATCTGTCAGGGGTGATTAGAATGCAATATTCCTGCTTCTTGGCAGAATGGGGTTGGACTGGATGGCCCATGAGGTCTCTTCCAACTCTTTGATTCTATGATTCACTTTTGCAGGCTAAACATGCCCAGCTCTTTAAGCCGCTCCTCATAAGGTTTGTTCTCCGGACCCTGGATCCTTTGAGTCAGCCTCTTCCTCAGGACACCTTCCAGCTTAGAGTCAACATCTCCCTTCAATGGCCACACTCTCTCAACCTCAGAGGGAGGCAAGGGCAAACCCTCTCTCCCATCCCAGAAATTCGGAAACGCCGGCATCACAAAACACACACAAATACACGCACAGAGTACATGCAACACACAGTCCTTGGAAAAGCAAAGTTTTCCCCCCTTATTTACCTGGATCCTCTTGACGGCCAGGCAAAATCACGGCAGAGACGAGGAGGCAACTGTGCGGCACTTCTCCCCTAAACGGATCACACACCAAACACACACACACACACATATTAAGCAATCATAGCCTTCCCCTCCATGCTGCAAACCGCAGGAAAAATCAATCGATGCTTCCCTTTTCTTCCTTCCTTCCATGCGGTTTCACATCCGCACTTTGCACAGCTGTTCTGCAAGCTCTGCAAGAAATACGGGGAACAAATTGGGGGTTTTCCCGAGCAAAATTGCAATCCCAGTGGTTTGTTGTGAGTACAGCTCAGGTCTTCGTGTTGTCGAAGGCTTTCATGGCCGGAATCACTGAGTTGCTGTGAGTTTTCTGGGCTGCCTGGCCATCTTCCAGAAGCATTCTCTCCTGACGTTTCACCTGCATCTGTGGATGGCATCTTCAGAAGTCTGGTGGCAGTGAGGCATGTGGAGTGTACATATAACTGTGGAATAATATCTCTGGCTGGCCTCTTCAGCTCTGGATGTGGGCGAAATGTTAGGAGGGAATGCTTCTGGAACATAACCATACAGCCCGGAAAACTCACAGCAATCCTGGCGTTTCGCCTACATCTGTGGATGGCATCTTCAGAAGTCTGGTGGCAGTGAGGCATGTGGAGTGTAACTGTGGAATAATATCTCTGACTGGCTTCCTCAGCTCTGGATGTGGGCGAAATGTTAGGAGGGAATGCTTCTGGAACATAATCATACAGTCCGGAAAACTCACAGCAACGCTGGCGTTTCACCTACATCTGTGGATGGCATCTTCAGAAGTCTGGTGGCATGTGGAGTGTAACTGTGGAATAATATCTCTGSCTGTCCTCTTCAGCTCTGGATGTGGGCGAAATGTTAGGAGGGAATGCTTCTGGAACATAACCATACAGCCCAGAAAACTCACAGCAACCCTGGTGTTTCACCAACATCTGTGGATGGCATCTTCAGAAGTCTGGTGGCAGTGAGGCATGTGGAGTGTACATATAACTGTGGAATAATATCTCTGGCTGGCCTCTTCAGCTCAGGATGTGGGCGAAATGTTAGGAGGGAATGCTTCTGGAACATGGCCATACAGCCTGGAAAACTCACAGCARCCCTGGTGTTTCACCTACATCTGTGGATGGCATCTTCAGAAGTCTGGTGGCAGTGAGGCATGTGGAGTGTACATATAACTGTAGAATGATATCTCTGGCTGGCCTCTTCAGCTCTGGATGTGGGCGAAATGTTAGGAGGGAATGCTTCTGGAACATAACCATACAGCCCAGAAAACTCACAGCAACCCTGGTGTTTCACCTACATCTGTGGATGGCATCTTCAGAAGTCTGGTGGCAGTGAGGCATGTGGAGTGTACATATAACTGTGGAATAATATCTCTGGCTGGCCTCTTCAGCTCTGGATGTGGGCGAAATGTTAGGAGGGAATGCTTCTGGAACATAACCATACAGCCCAGAAAACTCACAGCAACCCTGGTGTTTCACCTACATCTGTGGATGGCATCTTCAGAAGTCTGGTGGCAGTGAGGCATGTGGAGTGTACATATAACTGTGGAATAATATCTCTGGCTGGCCTCTTCAGCTCTGGATGTGGGCGAAATGTTAGGAGGGAATGCTTCTGGAACATAACCATACAGCCCAGAAAACTCACAGCAACCCTGGTGTTTCACCTACATCTGTGGATGGCATCTTCAGAAGTCTGGTGGCAGTGAGGCATGTGGAGTGTACATATAACTGTGGAATAATATCTCTGGCTGGCCTCTTCAGCTCTGGATGTGGGCGAAATGTTAGGAGGGAATGCTTCTGGAACATGGCCATACAGCCTGGAAAACTCACAGCAACGCTGGCGTTTCACCTACATCTGTGGATGGCATCTTCAGAAGTCTGGTGGCAGTGAGGCATGTGGAGTGTACATATAACTGTGGAATAATATCTCTGGCTGGCCTCTTCAGCTCTGGATGTGGGCGAAATGTTAGGAGGGAATGCTTCTGGAACATAACCATACAGCCCGGAAAACTCACAGCAACGCTGGCGTTTCACCTACATCTGTGGATGGCATCTTCAGAAGTCTGGTGGTCGCGAGGCACATGGAGTGTATGTGGAATAATCTCTATGGCAGGCATCTTCAGATGCTGTGAGGTCTGTTTGTGGGCGAAACGTTAGGAGGGAATTCTTCTGGAACATGGTCATACAGCCCAGAAAACTCACAGCAACCCAGTCCCAGAAATGTGTGCCTGTGTGCATGCTCGAAAAAGTGAGAAGGACTTGAGACTGGGACGCAATGGAGCAATGGCTTCAAACAACAGAAATCGAAGGAGATTCCACCTGAACATTAGGAAGAACTTCCTGAGTGTGAGAGCTGTTCAGCAGTGGAACTCTCTGCCTTGTGAGAAATAACTTCCTGACTGTGAGAGCTGTTCAGCAGTGGAACTCTTTCTTTCTCTGCCCCAGAGTGCGGTGGAGACTCCTTCTTAGGAGTCTTTTGAGCAGTGTAATGAATCCCTTACATTGGCAAGCTCGCTTAGGCTTAGAAGAGTGGGCCTGGCAAAGCACAGCATCCATTTTGGAGAAGGGAGACAGGGAGACGCCATTTTAGGTTAGGTTTCCCTTAAGGGGGCGTGTTCTAGACTTGGAGGGAAAATTAGAAGTCTAGGATTGGTTAAGAAAGATGGGGCGGTCTGAAGGAAAAAAGTGACTTTTAAACTGAGGCTTGAGTTCCCAGTTTGCCAGTTGGGAGTTGGAGCTTGGAAAGGGTAGAGCGAAGACGTTGGATGTTAGGGAGAGCAGTTTGGGGTTTTGAAGAAGAACTTTGGGTCAGTCTTTTTTTAGTATTCAGGGTAGCTATAGAGAATTTTTGTGGGAGTTACTTTCAGAGATTAATTTCCTGAAGTAATTTTTTGTGTTGAAACTTTAAGACTTGCAACCCAGAAGTTTTTAAGATCTCTTCTCAAACGTAACCACAGGTTTTGATGCCAGAACTTTACTGAAACCAATAAGCATTTGTACCTGAATTATTCAAGCCTGTTCAATAAAAGTTCTTGTTATTTTTATCAACTTATACCAGCCTCAGTGTGAATACCTTTGTGGTCAAAGCAGTCGTAAGGCCGAACAGGGTATAGGGTTACAGCCTGTGCTGGATGGGGTTACACTCCCCCTGAAGACGCAGGTTCGCAGCTTGGGAGTGATCCTGGACTCATCGCTGAGCCTGGAACCCCAGGTCTCCGGTGGCCGGGAGAGCTTTTGCGCAATTAAAACTTGTGCACCAGTTGCGCCCGTACCTTGGGAAGTCTGATCTGGCCACGGTGGTCCCTCTTGTTACATCCCGAATAGACTACTGCAACGCGCTCTACGTGGGGTTGCCCTTGAAGACTGTTCGGAAACTTCAACTAGTCCAGCGAGCGGCAGCCAGATTGCTCACCGGAGCGACATACAGGGAGCATACCACCCCCCTGCTGTGCCAGCTCCACTGGCTGCCGATTCAGTTCCGAGCACAATTCAAGGTGCTGGTTTTGACCTACAAAACCCTGTACGGTTCCGGTCCAGTGTATCTGTCCGAACGTATCTCCCTCTACGTCCCACCTCGGAGTTTGAGATCATCTGGGGAGGCCCTGCTCTCAACCCCACCACTGTCACAAGTGAGGCTGGTGGGGACGAGAAGCAGGGCCTTCTCAGTGGTGGCCCCTCACCTGTGGAACTCACTCCCGGGGGAAATCAGAACATCACCATCCCTCCTCTCCTTCAGGAGGAGGGTGAAGACATGGTTGTGGAACCAGGTCTTTGGGCAACCAGGCAATTAAATAAGACAACTAAATAAGACAAACACAGATGTGCAAGATCAGCAGGATTGTCGAAGTGGAATCAAAAACAGATCTATGAGTTAGTGTACACTGATAGGGTAGGAGGAAGAATTAGGTTTGTATTGTTTTTATTGATTTTATCGATTTATTGATTTTATTGGGATAATGACTTGAATTGTGGGAACTATGAATTGTACTTCTGTGATGATTGTTTTGTGTGGCAGGCATCTAAGCGTGCCTTTTAGGCCTGTTTGATCAAGAAAAAATTTGTTTCTAAAATCGATTTGTAATTGGGGTGTTTTTTTGTTTCGATATTTAAAATAATTACAAAACTTTCCAAAAAAAAGTTTTGGTATTTAAGAAATTTTGTAAATATTAACGAATTTTTAGAATATTTTTGTATTTCTTAAGAATAATATTAAAATAATATTAAAAAATATTTTAAAATGGAAAATTAACCAAAAAATGGCCCAAATGTGGACCAAACACAGGCAGGATACAGCAAATGAGAGCACACACCAACAGAACAGTCTTTTCTTTTTTAGAATATTTTTTAAGAATAATATTAAAAATAATATTAAAAAATAATATTAAAAATAATATTAAAAAATATTTAAAATGGAAATTAACCAAAAAATGGCCCAAATGTGGACCAAACACAGGCAGGAGACAGCAAATGAGAGCACACACCAACAGAAGAGTCTTTTCTTTTTTAGAATATTTTTTAAGAAAAATAAATAATATTAAAAAATAATATTAAAAAATAATATTAAAAAATATTTTAAAATGGAAAATTAACCAAAAAATGGCCCAAATGTGGACCAAACACAGGCAGGATACAGCAAATGAGAGCACACACCAACAGAAGAGTCTTTTCTTTTTTAGAATTTTTTAAGAATAATATTAAAATAATATTAAAATAATATTTAAAAATAATATTAAAAAATAATATTAAAAAATAATATTAAAAAATATTTTAAAATGGAAAATTAACCAAAAAATGGCCCAAATGTGGACCAAACACAGGCAGGAGACAGCAAATGAGAGCACACACCAACAGAAGAGTCTTTTCTTTTTTAGAATATTTTTTAAAAATAATAGTAAAAAATAATATTAAAAACTAATATTAAAATAATATTAAAAAATATTTTAAAATGGAAAATTAACCAAAAAATGGCCCAAATGTGGACCAAACACAGGCAAGAGACAGCAAATGAAGCAAGCAGCACTCACAGCAGCAAGGAATGAATCCAATCCGAGTTGCTAGCAGCCATTGCCAAGCCAACCCAATGCAAACTCCCTCGCCCTCTTGAAGCTACGGGCCGCGCGGAGCCGCTTTGAAAGGGCTCGCCGGCCAATCAAAAACAGGCAGCCACGGACCCATGGTGGTGCACTGTTTGGGAGCGCCGGATTGGCTCCCATGCACCAGCACTCCAGCAGCCTCCACCCCATTAACGAAACGAGCGGAGGCTCGTTAAAACTCTGGGGGCTGCTGGTTCGATATTTAAAAACCCTTCCGGGTTTGGGAATATGCTTCAATATCGCTTCGGAAATGGTAAAATTAACGAATTAATAACGAAATAACGAATTAACGAACGAAACCGCACAGGCCTAGTGCCTTTGCTGTTGTGAGCCGCCCTGGGTCCCCTACGGGGTGAGAAGGGCGGCGTACAAGAACCCCAAATAAATAAATAAATATATTATTATTTAAGTCAGCTTTTTAACAGCCTCTAAGAAAACTATAGGTACACAGAGTGTGGTACTGTACAACCTCTCAATAATACATCAGCGTGGTTATTAGTAAAATGGTGGCAGCGGAAATCTTTTGAAGAAGCATTTTAAGTCTCTCAGTTCCAGTGGTTCCCAGTTCCTAGCTTGTAAATATACAATTGGTTCAACAACTATACTCCCTCTATATTTTAGTGAGCTAATTTGTAGTGGTGTCATCGTTATAATTTGGTGAAGCGGCATTGGGATTTTTATTATATTTCAAGAAAAGAACCAATTGTTTCAACTTATGTGTATGTGGCAGTTTTTGATATGTGTATTTGTAATATATGCATTGAGTTAATTTAGTTGGACTAGATGGCCCATGAGGTCTCTCCCAACTCTAGGATTGTATGATTCTATGACTCAAGATAGTTTAAAACAACAGTTAAAAAATACAATAATCAAACAATATTAAAATAATCTCAAATCCATTCTTGTCAGAAAACTTGTCCATTCCAGGAAAACCTGCAATAAGTGAAAATCCGCAAAGTAGGGACACTCCTCTCACTCGGCGATGGCTTCCTCCTCCTTGCCGCCTCCATTGCTCCTGGCCTCAGAGGCCCCTTGGGCGCTGTTGATGGGTTGATGGCACTGCCAGGCCATCAACAGTGCCTCCACCTCTTTCTCCTCCTCACCCTCCTCCTCCCCTCATGGCTCCAGGGTGGAGGAAAAACCCACGAAACAGCGAGTCCGCAATAAGCAAACTCTACCCCAGTTCCCTAAGTGAACTCTACCTAAGCGAACTGTACCCTAACTCTACCCTAGGTCCCTAAGCGAACTCTACCTTAACTCTACCCTAGCCCCCTAAGCAAACTCTACCTAAGCGAACTCTACCCTAACTATACCCTAGCTCTAGGCCTGTTTGATCAAGAAAAAATTTGTTTCTAAAATCGATTTGTAATTGGGGTGTTTTTTTGTTTCGATATTTAAAATAATTACAAAACTTTCCCCCAAAAAGTTTTGGTATTTACGAAATTTTGTAAATATTAACGAATTTTTAGAATATTTTTTGTATTTTTAAGAATAATATTAAAATAATATTAAAAAATATTTTAAAATGGAAAATTAACCAAAAAATGACCAAACACAGGCAGGATACAGCAAATGAGAGCACACACCAACAGAAGAGTCTTTTCTTTTTTAGAATATTTTTTAAGAATAATATTAAAAAATAATATTAAAAAATAATATTAAAAAATAATATTAAAAATAATATTAAAAATATTTTAAAATGGAAAATTAACCAAAAAATGGCCCAAATGTGGACCAAACACAGGCAAGAGACAGCAAATGAAGCAAGCAGCACTCACAGCAGCAAGGAATGAATCCAATCCCAGTTGCTAGCAGCCATTGCCAAGCCAACCCAATGCAAACTCCCTCGCCCTCTGCAGCAAGCTACGGGCCGCGCGGAGCCGCTTTGAAAGGGCTCGCCGGCCAATCAAAAACAGACAGCCACGGACCCATGGTGCACTGCTTGGGAGCGCCGGATTGGCTCCCAGGCACCAGCACTCCAGCAGCCTCCACCCCATTAACGAAACGAGCGGAGGCTCGTTAAAACTATGGGGGTTGCTGGTTCGATATTTAAAAACCCTTCCGGGTTTGGAAATATGTTTCAATATCGCTTCGGAAATGCCAAAAATAACGAATTAATAACGAATTAACGAACGAAACCGCACAGGCCTACTAGCTCCCTAAACGAACTCTACCTAAGCGAACTCTACGCTAACTCTACCCTAGCTCCTTAAGTGAACTCTACCTAAGCGAACTCTACCCTAACTCTCCCTAAGCGAACTCTGCCCTAACGCGACCCTAGCTCCCTAAGCAAACTCTACCTAAGCAAACTGTACCCCAACTCTACCCTAGCTCCCTAAGCAAACTCTACCTAAGCGAACTCTACCCTAACTCTCCCTTAGCTCCCTAAGCGAACTCTACCTAAGCGAAATTTACCCTAACTCTACCCTAGCTCCCTAACCGAACTCTACCTAAGTGAACTCTACCCTAACTCTACCCTAGCTCCCTAACTGAACTCTACCTAAGCAAACTGTACCCTAGCTCTACCCTAGTTCCCTAAGCGAACTCTACCTGAGCGAACTCTACCCCAACTCTACCCTAGCTCCCTAAGCGAACTCTACCTAAGCAAACTCTACCCTAACTCTACCCTAGCTCCCTAAGCGAACTCTACCTCAGCGAATTCTATCCTAACTCTACCCTAGCTCCATAAGTGAACTCTACCTAAGCGAACTCTACCGTAACTCTACCCTCGTTCCCTAAGCGAACTCTACGTAAGTGAATTCTACCCTAACTCTACCCTAGCTCCCTAACTGAACTCTACCTAAGCGAACTCTACCCTGACTCTACCCTAGCTCCCTAAGCAAACTCTACCTTAACTCTACCCTAGCTCCCTAAGCGAACTCTACCTAAGCGAACTCTACCCTAACTATACCCTAGCTCCCTAACTGAACTCTATCTAAATGAACTCTACACTAATTCTACCCTAGCTCCCTATGCCAACTCAACCTAAGTGAACTCTACCCCAACTCTACCCTAGCTCCCTAAGCGAACTTTACCTAAACGAACTCTACCCCAACTCTACCCTAGCTCCCTAACCGAACTCTACCTAAGCAAACTCTACCCTAACTCTACCCTAGCTCCCTAAGTGAACTCTACCTAAGCGAACTCTACCCTAACTCTACCCTAGCTCCCTAAGCGAACTCTTCCTAAGCGAACTCTACCCTAACTCTACCCTAGCTCCCTAAGCGAACTCTACCAAAGCGAACTCTACCCTAACTCTAACCGTTGATGGCACTGTCAGGCTGGTCAGCAGGTCCGGCCGGCACAAGGGTTTAGCTCATTGCCTCACTGGGGGCTTCAACACAGACACTGAGTTTTGTAGGAAGCCGCGTGATTGGCTGACAAGGAAAAAAACAACAGCATGCAGTTGCCATTTGTCAATCACATCAGCCCCCTCGCCTCCACCCACCCCAGACCATAATGGAGTATAGTACATTGAGAAAAACTACAGCTTGAAACGCTCTGAAGCTGTGTGATTGGCTGACAAGGAAAAAACAACAGCATTGAAAAAACAACAGTATTGAGAAAAACTACAGCTTGAAACGCTCTGAAAAAAACCCCAAATATTTACTAATTTGTCCGAAACATTTCAGAGGCTTCCATTTTGTTTTGTATTCATAATTTGGAGATTTGTATTAATGGATCATACGAATCCCCGAATTACAAAGCTTTGCACAGTCCTAACGTCCAATGAATGACTCTCACTCTCGGATCACTATATTTGCAAAGGAAAAAGATCGTTGTCATTGATTCACAACTGTTTTTTTATGTAATTCTGCACTTTTTTTTTACATATGTTTCTATTTTAGTGATTTTTTTTAAGCTTTCAGAACAAGGAGAACGGCGTTCCCATGAATAAATATTTGTTTCAAAGTAAGCACAACCTTTTTTTAAAGGCAGTTTTAATCTTGATGCTGTTTTCATAATCCTGAGACCTTTGGGAAGTGTTTTATTTTTCCTCCTTCTTCCATTGGCGGTGGTGTTACGATTTAATTCTGTAGTTCTTTTGGTCTCTCGCCCTTGGGATACGACTGACGAGTAGCAGAAAAATGCCGATAACAATGGAACAATGAAAGGAAGCAAAGAACACGTTTATTGAACATTTTGAGAACACGAGTAGGAAAACATTGGCTGTAATTCAGATATACATCTAGGGACAAGGGCTCTGGGAAATCGAATCGAGCATTTTTGCAATATTCGTATTCAGCAAAAGGGCAACACGTAAAGGAATCAGCAAGGTGAATGTTGCACATCAGGAATGATGCACATTGGACACTCTCTACGACTGTTGAGAGAAAAGCAATGCCTCCACCTTCGTAACTCCTCAAAAGATGGCAGTACTGGTATACGGCAGGTACTGGCTTGTTCAGTAGACTTTCCTCTACAGTTCCATTTTGGCCGAAAGCCTTCGCATTGAACGGTTGTGTTGTTGAAGTGAGAAGTATGGAACCCTGCGCAGATGGTCGGTCAATGCGACTTAAACATTGTTGTTTTACCATCCTTGTGGGAGGCTTCTCTCATGCCCCTGCATGGTGAGCTGGAGCTGGCAGAGGGAGCTCAACTTGCTCTCCCCAGATTCGAACCGCTGACCTGTCAGTCAGCAAGTCCTGTTGGCACAAGAGTTTAACTCATTGCGCCACCGGACACTGAGGAGGGGAGCCAGTTTTGCAGGAAGCTGTGTGATTGGCTGACAAGGAAAAAAACAACAGCATGCAGTTGCCATTGTCACTCACATCAGCCCCCTCGCCTCCACCCACCTCAGATAATAATGGAGTATAGTACATTGAGAAAAACTACAGCTTGGAATGCTCCGAAAAAAACAAATATTTACTAATCTGTCTGAAAATCTGTGAAGTAGGGATGCTCTGCACACTCGGCAGCCTTCTCCTCCTCTCCGCCTCTCTTGCTCCCTGCCTCAGAGGCCCCTTGGGCACCGTTGATGGTACTGTCAGGCTGGTCAGCAAGTCCTGCTGGCACAAGGGTTTAACTCATTGCACCACTGGGGGCTTCAACACAGACACTGAGGAAGGGAGACAGTTTTGTAGGAAGCCGCGTGATTGGCTGACAAGGAAAAAAAACAACAGCATGCAGTTGCCATTGTCAATCACATCAGCCCCCTTGTCTCCACCCACCCCAGACAATAATGGAGTATAGTACATTGAGAATAAACTCCAGCTTGAAATGCTCTGAAACAACAAATCTTTACTAATCTGTCCAAAAATCCATGAAGTAGGGATGCTCCGCACACTTGGCGGCAGCCTTCTCCTCCTCTCCGCCTCTATTGCTCCCTGCCTCAGAGGCCCCTTCGGCACCGTTGATGGTACTGTCAGGCTGGTCAGCAAGTCCTGCTGGCACAAGGGTTTAACTCATTGCACCACTGGGGGGTTCAACACAGACACTGAGGGGAGACAGTTTTCAGGAAGCTGTGTGATTGGCTGACAAGGAAAAAAAACAGCACTCAGTTGCTATTGTGAATCACATCAGTCCCCTCACCTCCACTGACCCCAGACAATAATGTAGTACATTGAGAAAAACTACACCTTGAAATGCTCTGAAAAAAACAAATTTTTACTAATCTGTCTGAAAATCCGTGAAGTAGGGATGCTCCACACACTCGGCGGCAGCCTTCTCCTCCTCTCCGCCTCCATTGCTCCCAGCCTCGGAGGCCCCTTGGGCACTGTTGATGGTACCATCAGGCTGTTTAACTATCCTTATGGAAGGCTTCTCTCTTGTCCCTGCATGGGGAGCTGGAGCTGACAGAAGGAGCTCAACCCACATTCCCCAGATTTGAACCGCTGACCTATTGCTCAGCAAGTCCTGCCGGCACAAGGGTTTAACTCATTGCACCACTGGGGGCCTCAACACAGTCTCTGAGGAGGGGAGACAGTTTTGTAGGAAGCTGTGTGATTGGCTGATAAGGAAAAAAACAACAGCATGCAGTTGCCATTGTCAATCACATCAGCCCACTTGCCTCCACCCACCCCAGACAATAAGGGAGTATAGTACATTGAGAATAAACTCCAGCTTGAAATGCTCTGAAACAACAAATCTTTACTAATCTGTCCGAAAATCTGTGAAGCAGGGATGCTCCACACACTCGGCGGCAGCCTTCTCCTCCTCTCCACCTCCATTGCTCCCAGCCTCGGACACCCCTTGGGCACTGTTGATGGTACCATCAGGCTGTTTAACCATCGTCATGGAAGGCTTCTCTCTTGTCCCTGCATGGGGAGCTGGAGCTGACAGAGGGAGCTCAATCCACATCCCCCAGATTTGAACCGCTGACCTATTGCTCAGCAAGTCCTGCTGGCACAAAGGTTTAACTCATTGCACCACTGGGGGCTTCAGCACAGTCACTGAGGAGGGGAGACAGTTTTGCAGGAAGCCGTGTGATTGGCTGACAAGGAAAAAAACAACAGCATGCCTTTGTCAATCACATCAGCCCTGTCAATCACAAATCTGTCAGGATTAATTTAGTTATAGGTATGGTTTTTCAATGTGCTTCTATGTATTTCAAGGTGGATTCACTTATGTATTAGAAATTGCTGTGCAGAATGTCTATTGAGGCTGTGAGTGTGTAACCTTGAAAGCAATGAGATAATGTATGCTTCTGCTGAGAACAGAAGGAAGTATTTTGTCTCAGCAGAGTGAAGAGAGATAAGCAGGTGTGCAGAGAGAGTTTCGTTTCCCACTAGTTCCTGTTTGTAGCTCGCTGTGTTAAGACGTGTCTTATTCGTACTTAGTAAAACTTAGTTTCTTTTGTAACTGAAAGACTGCAGAGTCCTGATTTATGGAGCACAGTGTCTGTTGATCTAGCAAACCTTCTGCTGCGCACCCCCCAAACTCTGACAATCGGTTATGGGCCCAGTCCCTAACCCAACAGAGTCCAGCAAGACCTGGAAGCTTGCTGACCAGAACCGGGGAGTCAACCCAGTTGGCTCAGAAGGTTACTGGTGGAGGAGACTGGAACGGCCTGACTGCAGCGGAGAAAGTGGCTGAGTTGCTGACCAGTGTGTGGACTGAAAACCTGCATCTGTTGGTGAGTGAAGAATCACGGCAGGAAGCCGGGGAAATATATCTGCCAAGATTTGGAATGTTTCAGTCATCCACTGATTTTAAGGAATTTTTGAAAGTAATTTTCCCTCTTGAATTTCTCCACAACGAGACAACATAAGCAGAACATCAATCCCGCAACGTTTCCAAAAGATTAGTTCACCTACTGTTTTTATTTATTTATTTTATTTACGTCACTTTTATCCTGCCCATTTCAGCCCAAAGATGATTGAAATTTTAGGAATTTAAAAAAAGTTTTTACAAGAAAAATATAAGCAATTACAACTTGGACCGCTCTGAAACAACAAATCTTAACTAATTTCTCTGAAACGTTTTGGAGGCTTCCGTTTTGTTTTGGAATGCTTCGGAGGGTATCCCGTTCCGATTGGTAATTTGGAGATTTGTATTAATGAGTGATACGAATCTCCATATTACGTAACAGACCTCCGAAGCTTTGCACAGCACTATTGGCCAATGTGATCCATTCTGAGCAAGACAAAGTCCCATCTAGGTCACCGATTTGTTGCTGTTGAAACATTCAGATCTAGAGGTCTGCACGCTAGTACGAGAGGATTGGCTGACAAGGAAAAAAACAACAGCACGCTAGTACTAGAGGATTGGTTGACAAGGAAAAAAACAACAGCACGCTAGTACTAGAGGATTGGCTGACAAGGAAAAAAACAACAGCACGCTAGTACTAGAGGATTGGCTGACAAGGAAAAAAACAACAGCACGCTAGTACTAGAGGATTGGCTGACAAGGAAAAAAACAACAGCACGCTAGTACTAGAGGATTGGCTGACAAGGAAAAAAACAACAGCACGCTAGTACTAGAGGATTGGCTGACAAGGAAAAAAACAACAGCACGCTAGTACTAGAGGATTGGCTGACAAGGAAAAAAACAACAGCACGCTAGTACTAGAGGATTGGTTGACAAGGAAAAAAACAACAGCACGCTAGTACTAGAGGATTGGCTGACAAGGAAAAAAACAACAGCACGCTAGTACTAGAGGATTGGCTGACAAGGAAAAAAACAACAGCACGCTAGTACTAGAGGATTGGCTGACAAGGAAAAAAACAACAGCACGCTAGTACTAGAGGATTGGCTGACAAGGAAAAAAACAACAGCACGCTAGTACTAGAGGATTGGCTGACAAGGAAAAAAACAACAGCACGCTAGTACTAGAGGATTGGCTGACAAGGAAAAAAACAACAGCACGCTAGTACTAGAGGATTGGCTGACAAGGAAAAAAACAACAGCACGCTAGTACTAGAGGATTGGCTGACAAGGAAAAAAACAACAGCACGCTAGTACTAGAGGATTGGCTGACAAGGAAAAAAACAACAGCACGCTAGTACTAGAGGATTGGCTGACAAAGAAAAAAACAACAGCACGCTAGTACTAGAGGATTGGCTGACAAGGAAAAAACAGCAGCATGCTAGTACTAGAGGACAGGAAGCTGAAGGAGAAAGTGAACTTTGAAGTTCTAAAGAACTTAAACTTGTGAGAGTAGACCCACTCAACACATTGCCATTGATTAAATGGGTTGGCTGTTGTGGGGACAACCAACCGGATTCGGGCCCTAATCTGGGTAAAGCAAGAAACCGGAGAAAACACTGTCGGACCCACTGATGCCCACCATGCCGTTGTAGTCGTTGACTGCCAGCCACACTTGGTGGCCCACTTGCATCTGGAGGAGGAGGCCTCCTGAGCTCACTTGCTTAGGGTTGGTCATGTGGTCGCAGAAGCTGGCCACCTTCTCCCGGTTCAGGTACACGTTGACGCAGAGGTTGTCCGTCTGTGAGGCATGGTAGACAAAGTAGTAGACGCCTGGGATGCGGCAGGTGAACTTGCCCGTGGTGACGTCGTAGTCTTGGTTGGTGTTGGTGATGGCTTTGTTGAAGACCACAGGGGCGTTCTTCACGGGGTACTGACCCGTCTGGCGCATTACCGTGAAGGCTGACTGATGGGTCCGCTTGTAGCCGCCTGGCTCGCCCGGCTCGCCTTTCTCCCCCTCCAGACCAATGTCTCCGGCAGGTCCGGATGGGCCCCGTGGCCCATTCTTTCCAGGCAAACCAGGGACACCTGGAGGTCCAGCCTCCCCCTTCGGACCTTGGTTTCCAAAAATGCCTGGGACACCTACAAGAGATACAACATATGGCGGATCATGACTGAGAAAGCTCAGAGGCTGAAGAAATCCCTCATTTGGCCTACAATTTTCCAGTAACAATGTCAATAATTTAGTCATCCCTCCACATTAGTTGGGATTAGGAGCAAAGGATACCTAGATGACAGTGGAAAAATACCCTTAGTGAACACCTCTCCAGGTATGTTCAAGTCTTCCAGAACAACTCCATGTCATCAGTTGTGAACTCTCCCCCCAGCACCATCTGCCGCTCTGGGCCAGAGTGAAGAGAGAGGGGGCCAGGGGACAGTTCCATCTTGTCTCCTGCATATGTCATCATTTGGGGACCCCGCCACCCAGTACCAACTGCCGCCCTGGCCAGTTACAAGAGAGGGGGGCAGGGGACGGTCCCATCTTGTGTCCTGCATATCTCATCAGCTGAGGACCCCTCTCCCCAGCACCAACTGCCACTCTGGACCAGAGTGAAGAGAGAGGGGGCCAGGGTACAGTCCCACCTTGTCTCCTGCATATCTCATTAGTTGGGGACCCCTCCCCCAGCACCAACTGCCGCTCTGGGCCAGAGTGAAGAGAGAGGGGGCCAGGGGACAGTTCCATCTTGTCCCCTGCATATGTCATCAGTTGGGGACTCCTCCCCCAGCACCAACTGCCGCTCTGGACCAGAGTGAAGAGAGAGGGGGCCAGGGGACAGTTCCATCTTGTCTCCTGCATATCTCATTAGTTGGGGACCCCTCCCCCAGCACCAACTGCCGCTCTGTGCCAGAGTGAAGAGAGAGGGGGCCAGGGAACAGTTTCATCTTGTCCCCTGCATATCTCATCAGCTGGTGACCACTCCCCCAAGCACCAACTGCCGCTCTGGGTGAGAGTGAAGAGAGAGGGGGCCAAGGGACAGTCCCATCTTGTCTCCTGCATATGTTATCAGTTGAGGACCCCTCCCCCCAACATTACCGCTCTTGGCCAGAGTGAAGAGGGAGGGGGCCAGGGGAGAGTTCCATCTTGTCTCATATATAATCAGTTGGTGACCCTTCTCCCCAGCACCAACTGCTTCTGTGGGCCAGAGTAAAGAGAGGGGGGGGTCAGGGGACAGTTCCATCTTGTTTCCTGCATATGTTATCAGTTGGGGACCCCTCCCCCCAGCACTACCGCTCTGGGCCAGAGTGAAGAGGGGGGCAGAAGACAGTTCTACCTTGTCTCCTGCATATGTCATCAGCTGGGGACCCCTCCCCCAGCACCAACTGCAGCAGAGGCAGCCCTAGGTAATTTTCAACGGTAAACAAACAGTATTTTGGCGCCCCCCCCCCAACCAATCATTGATATGGAGCAGGAACGAGTGTCGTCTCCTTAGATTTCGACTGTTGTGGATTTGATTCTATCCCCTTCTTAACGTTCCTTAACTTTGTAAGAAGGAACCTGTTGTGGGACAAGCTGAGGCCTTTGAATATTGATCCCAGACTTTTGTTTCCAAACACAATTGTACTCTAATACTGTTTGCCAAATTACATGCTCTCAGTAAGGCTAACTTCTAGAATTAGTGCTAGATGTGGGGTCAAGAAGGACTGTATACTGACTCCTACACTATTCAACATATTCCTGTATGCTTTAGCGTTGGTGGTCATAGTCCCAAGCTCCAGTCTTCCCTTACTCTTATATGAAGATGATGCTGTGCTACTGTCCTTATCTGGGGCTGAAAGTGAGGCAACTCAATGGTCCTTGTCATGGTTTCATCCAAGCATGATCCAGTCACTGAACATTTCCATTAAGTCATGATGAGAAACCTGGAACATTCTTCTAGGTCTTCCAACACAACTATATGGTACGCTGGGGCTGAAAGTGAGGCAATTCAATGGTCGTTGTCATGGTTTCATCCAAGCATGATCCAGTCACTGGACATTTCCATTAAGTCATGATGAGAAACCTAGAACATTCTTCTAGGTCTTCCAACACAACTATATGGTAGGCTGGGGCTGAAAGTGAGGCAATTCAATAGACGTTGTCATGGTTCCATCCAACCGTGATCCAACCACTGGGCATTTCCACCAAGTCATGTTGAGAAACCTGGAACATTCTTCTAGGTCCTCCAACACAACTATATGATACGCTGGGACTGAAAGTGAGGCAATTCAATGGTCATTGTCATGGTTTCATCCAATGGGCATTTCCATCAAGTCATGTTGAGAAACCTAGAACATTCTTCTAGGTCTTCCAACACAACTGTATGGTATGCTGGGACTGAAAGTGAGGCAATTCAATGGTTTTTGTCTGTCATGGTTTCATCCAACCGTGATCCAACCACTGGGCATTTCCATCAAGTCATGTTGAGAAACCTAGAACATTCTTCTAGGTCTTCCAACACAACTGTATGGTATGCTGGGACTGAAAGTGAGGCAATTCAATGGTTTTTGTCTGTCATGGTTTCATCCAAGCATGATCCAACTACTGGGCATTTCCATCAAGTCATGTTGAGAAACCTAGAACATTCATTTAGGTCCTCCAACACAACTATATGGTACGCTGGGGCTGAAAGTGAGGCAATTCAATGGTTGTTGTCATGGTTTCATCCAAGCATGATCCAACCACTGGGCATTTCCATCGAGTCATGTTGAGAAACCTAGAACATTCTTCTAGGTTTTCCAACACAACTACATGGTATGCTGGGGCTGAAAGTAAGGCAATTCAATGGTTGTTGTCATGGTTTCATCCAAGCGTGATCAGACCACTGGACATTTCCATCAAGTTGTGTTGAGGAACCTAGAACATTATTCATTAATGTACCCTTAGGCATTGGGCACTTCAATCTCCAAGCCTTGCAAGTAGAATAGAAAGAGATTGGAGTGGAATGACGGCCTTGAACCCCTTACCTCGCTCTCCTTTGGATCCTTTCTGGCCATCCCGTCCATCTTTGCCTGGTGGGCCTGGCACTCCGGGAAGCCCAGGATTGCCGTAACAGTATTGGGGAGGTTCTGCTTCCAAAGACAAATCGGCCAGAAATAGAGAAATAAGGACAAATCTCCATCCTAGAATCTTCCTTGAATCAAAGTCCATCTTCATCCTATGAAGAAAGCCATAAATAATTACAATTATATTATTAAAATTTATTATTGTATCTAATTTTTATTATATAATTAAATAATTATAATATATTACACTAAATAACACAATTTTGTTCCTGGGTTATCAATGTCATTCATAAAAACAGGGAATTGCAGCACATTATAATATATTATTATATTATAGTTAGATTATATTACTATAGTGATATAATATAATAATATTATATTAACATTATATTTATATTATATTATTATAATTGTATTATATATTATTATTAATAATATACTCCACTATGTAATTAATTTTACTAAATAATTACAATTATATGATTGCAATTTATTACTGCATCATATTTTATATTATATAATTATACTAAATTATTATTACATCATATTTTATATTATATAATTATATAATTATAATATATTACACTAAATAACACATAGTGTAATATATTATAATTATATAATTATATAATATAAAATATGATTTTTGTTCCAGGGATATCAGTGTAATTTCCTAATTGGTTCAATCATAAAAACTTGGAATTGCAACATTATTATATAATTCTATTATATTATAGTCTATTGTTAAAATTATATTATATTATTATTGTATTATATATTATATAATATAATTATACAATTATAATATATTACACTATGTAACATCATTTTTGTTCCTAAGTTCTCAATGTTATTTTCTAATTGATTTGATCATAAAAACATTAGATTATTTTATTTTATTGTATTAGAGTTCATTATTGCATTATATAATATAATTATATTATACTAAAATTATTATTATTATTATTATTGTAATATATAATATAATACAATTATAATAATATAATGATAACAATATAGTATATAATAATAAATTTTAATATAATTTAATACATAATAATAATAATAATAATAATAATAATTGTAATATATAATATAATACAATTATAATAATATAATAATAATATAGTATATAATAATAAATTTTAATATAATTTAATATATAATAATAATAATAATTTTTAGTATAATATAATTATATTATATAATGCAATAATGAACTCTAATATAATAAAATAATATAATCTAATGTTTTTATGATCAAATCAATTTAGAACCTAGGAACAAAAATGGTGTTACATAATGTAAATTATTATTATTATTATTATTATTATTATTGCAATATATAATGTAATATAATTATAATTATTATTATTATAATTATAATTATATATTAAATTATATTAAAATGTATTATTATATATTATATTATTATCATTATATTATTATAATTGTATTACATTATATATTACAATAATAATAATAATAATAATAATAATAATAATAATAATAATAATTTACATTATGTAACACGTTTTTTTGTTCCTGGGTTCGAAAAGTCATTCCCTAATTGGTTCTATCATGAAAACATGGGAAAAGTTGATTAAACTGCCAAAACTTTGTCTTTGTCAAAGGGACATCATTTTGCTCAAGTTTCTCAATGACAATACCATCAAGTCTCAACCAATTCAACCAAGACGATGGAGAGGGCAGCAGCGGAGCAGTTGCAGCAATTCCTAGACGACACAGCCGGACGAGATCCCTTCCAATCCGGCTTCCGTGCGGGGCACAGGACAGAGACTGTGCTGGTCTCCATCACGGATCACCTTCGATGCCAGCTTGACCAGGGCGGGTCAGCACTGCTTGTGTTATTGGATCTCACAGCAGCATTTGACACAGTCGACCACAATCTTTTGACCCACCGCCTTGCTGTTGCTGGAGTCAGGGGGAGAGCTTTAAACTGGCTGTCCTCCTTTCTTCACAACCGTGGACAGCGAGTGGAGAGGGGAGGCCTGGTCTCTGAGAGGTCCCCTCTCTCTTGTGGGGTTCCTCAGGGGGCCATTCTCTCCCCTCTCTTGTTTAACATCTATATGCGACCACTTGCTCAGCTGGTTCGAGGTTTTGGGCTGGAGTGTTACCAGTACGCCGATGACACTCAGCTGGTGCTGAAGATGGAAGGCCGACCGGACTCTGTACCCGATTGTTTCCATCAGTGCCTCGAGGCCGTTACTGGATGGCTGCGTGCCAGCAGGTTGAGGGTGAATCCAGCAAAGACGGAGATCCTATGGCTGGGTCGACCGGGCAGTGGGGACATCCAGCTGCCTACCCTGGATGGCGAGGTGCTACGCCCATCATCGTTGGTAATGAGTCTGGGAGTCCTTTTGGACCCTCTGCTGACGATGGAGGCCCAGGTCTCCGCCGTGAGCAGAACCGCCTTTTTTCATCTTTTTTGGTGATTTCTCCCTTTTTCCACTTCTTGTGCATGTCTCTTTTGTGTCTTAGCACAGTTAGAAGTTTCTTGGACATCCATTCTGGCTTCTTTGCACTTGTCCTATTTTTTCTCTTTGTTGGCACGGTTTGGAATTCCGCCTTCTTTCATCTGCGGCAGGCTAGACGGCTGGCCCCCTACCTGTCCAGGGACGACCTAGCTACAGTGATCCAGGCCACGGTCATCTCAAGACTGGACTACTGTAACGCCCTCTACATTGGCCTTCCTCTGTCGGTGATCCGGAAGCTCAAGTTGGTACAAAATGCAGCTGCTCGGCTTCTTGCGGGAATTCCGATGAGATGCCACGTAACACCAATCTTACTACAGCGCTGCATTGGTTACCAATTGAGCACCGGATCACTTTCAAAGTGATGGTACTCACCTTTAAGGCCTTGCATGGTCTGGGGCCGATGTACCTGAGGGACCGCCTCACCCCCTACCAACCCCAGAGATCCCTCCGTTCTGAGGACCAAGATCTATTGGAAATTCCCAGTGTCAAAACCTTGCGTCTAACAGCAACCAGACACAGAGCCTTTACAGCAGTGGCTCCATCACTCTGGAATTCTCTGCCACCTGAAGTCCGTGCCTTGCGGGACTTACCAGCTTTCCACAGGGCATGTAAGACATACCTGTTTCGACAGGCCTTTGACTTTTGATATTGCTGTTTTTAAATTGTTTTTAAATTGTGTTCAATTTTAGCCTGTTCTTGTAAGCCGCTCCGAACTGCAGGGGAGTGGCGGCATATCAGTTTGAATAATAAATAAATAAATAAATAAATAAATAAATATGTATATTTTTGCAACACCGCCATCAGTCATAGCTTTTCTTACCTTGGATATATCTGCGTCTCTGCCCACTCTTGAACCCTTTTGCTGCACAGCGGAGAGTTTGGGACTCCGAGGATAATTCGGTGCAAGGCTTTAGCTTCCCCTCTTTGCAAAACTCCTGCTTTCAATAGGGAAGTTGGCAGCCTGGGAAGACCAAGAAGAACTGGCCCATCCCTTTTCCTGTCTTTGTGGTTTTCTTCGGCCAACTTTTGAGCCAATTCATTTTTATCAGACCCTCCAACTGTCTCCAATTTGGACAGGAGGGCATTTGCCCTGGAAAATGAATGCAGTTGAATTGGGACCTCTTTGGTGACCTCTTTGGTGACAGGTGGGAAGGAATGACAGAGTTGGGCATCAGATGATACCGCACCCTGAAACTTCGGATGATCTCCCCCAGCGGCTTCATGTATATGTTAAACAGCATGGTGGACAGTATTGAACCCTGAGGAACCCCACAAGACAATGGGTGTGGGGTTGAACAGGTATTTCCCAGTGACACCATCTGGGTGCGACCTTCCACAAAGGACAGTGCCTCCTAGGCCCATTCCGGTGAGACATCCCAGAAGGATACCCTGGTAGACGGTATTGAAGGCTGCTGAGAGGTCCAGCAGAACCAACAGGGACACACTCCCCCTGTCTATTTCCCGGCACAGATCAACTAAGGCGACCAGGACTGTCTCGGTTCCATGTCCCAGTCTAAAGCCAGACTGTGCCGGATCCAGATAATCCCTGTCTTCCAAGAATACCGGGAGTTGTGAGGCCACCACACGTTCTAGCACTTTGCCCAAAAAGGGTAGATTGGAAACAGGCCGATAGTTGACGAATTGAATGGGGTCCAGTGATGGTTTCTTCAACAACGGTTTTTATTATAGCCTGTTTTAAGCTAGCTGGAATATTGCCTTCCCGGAGGGAGGCATTAACTACCACCTTCACTCACTCAGCCAATCCCCCTCTGGCCTCCTTTAGAAGCCAGGATGGGCAGGGGTACTTGGAGGAATGAGGGCATTCCTCCAAGGATGCATGTGGTCGGCCTCATTCCTCCAAGTATCTTGTCCACATCCTCTGGTTTCACCAACTGAAATGAATCCATTAAAATCGGACAAGCACGTGCTCCAGTTACCTCCACAGAGACTGCCGTTAACATGTCCAGGTCAGAGCGGATCAAAGCGACTTTGTCCGCAAAGAACCGAGCAAATGCTTCACAGTGGCCTGTCGAGTTGTCAGGTTTCCCATCTGGAATGGTGCGATTTAACAGACCTCTGACCAGTCAAAACAGCTCTGCTGGATGGTTCTTTGCGGATGCAATATTGCCGTGGCATATGCCCTTAGCAGGGCATCAAGCCATGTTCGATTTGGCCCGCTCAGATCCGAATGCCACACTCCCTCTAGGCTCCTCTTCCTTCGCTTCATCACTGCCAACTCCTTGTTGAACCAAGGAGCTGGTTTGTGGGGTTGAACAGGTATTTCCCTGTGACACCATCTGGGTGCGACCTTCGACAAAGGACAGGAGGGGCCGTTCCGGAGTGATCGTATCTATTGCCCTGGCCATCTCCCCATTCCAGAGAGTGACCAGAGCATCATCAGAATCACCTACTGAGGTGGAGGGAAACTCCCTGAGAGCCCATCCGGATCCATAAGCCTCCTGGGGCAGACCATCTTAACGGGTCCTCCACCCCTGTGGAGGTTAGTGGGCACAGTGGACCTAAACCTGATCAGGTAGTGGTCGGTCCATGGCAATGGAGCGGTGGTCAGCTCCTCTATACTGCCACCATCCCCCCATCCCTGGCAGAAAACCAAATTGAATGTGTGTCCAGCACTGAGTAGGGCCAGTTATTAGTTGGGACAGTCCCATGGTCACCATGGAAGACATGAAGTCCTGAGCTGCTCCTGATAGGGTGGCCTCGGAGTGGACATTGAAGTCCCCCAGCACAATTAGTCGCTGGCATTCCAACGCCAGGTTTGAGACGACCCCGGCTAGCTCAGGTAGGGAGACTGTAGTGCAGTGGGGTGGATGGTACACTAACAGAATCCCTATTCTGTCCTGGTCGCCTACCCTCAGATGGACACATCCAAAATTAGTTGACTGTGGGATGGGGCACCTGGTCAGGGAGATGGAATCCCTATAGCCCACTGCAACCCCTCCTCCCCGCCCTCCAGATCTCGGCTGGTGCTGAACGGAGAAACCTGGTGGGCAAAGCTGGGTCAGATTTACACCTCCAGCCTCATCCAGCCTCATCCATGTTATGCATACCAGATCTGTTCATTCACCAAGAATTAAATCCTGGATGAATGCTGTTTTTTCCATTGACAGATCTGTCATTCAGCAGTACCACCCTGAATCTAGAGGGATCGCCATCCTGGGTACTCCAATTTACCATGTCAGGAGACCGATTTGGAATGATAGATAGATAGATAGATAGATAGATAGATAGATAGATAGATAGATAGATAGATGAGTAGATGAAGAGAGATAGAGAGAGATGTAAGGAGGGATAGTGGGATGAATAGATAGATAGATAGATAGATAGCTAGATAGATAGATATAGAATGATGGATAGAGGGATGAGTAGGTAAAGAAAGAGAGAGAGAGAGATGGATAGTGGGATGAGTAGATGAATAGATAGATAGATAGATAGATAGATAGGGATGGATAGACAGATAGATAGATAGATAGATAGATAGATAGATAGATAAGTAGATGAAGAGAGAGATGGAGAGAGATGGAATGATGGATAGTGGGATGAACAGATAGATAGATAGATGAATAGATAGGTAGAG